CTGGAACAATGCGCGCGGGGCACGGAGGTCTCGCCCAGCGCGGTGGTCGGGCCAGGTCAGCGAAAGACCCAAAACATTGGACGAAAGAAACCAAAACAATCCCCGGGCGAAACGGAAACTCAAAACACGTGGTGTGAAACCCTAAAACTGGTTCGTAGACAATTGGCAGCCTGGTGACAATGGAGGGTGAGCAACAGCAGCAGAAAGAGGAACAGGTGGCCGTGTTCACTTCTGATTTGTTTTCATGGCGAACTATGCTTTGTTATGTGCACCTCTGTCAATGTATGACTTGATATGTTACGCGGTGCTTTGCTCGACGGCAGCATGTTACGACATGATCTGGTATGTCGAACTATATCCTACAATGCGTTGCTCATTGACGCCGATTCCGTTTTGATCAGGTAATTCATAAATTATTATGATATGATCCGCTATGGTGTGCCATGTTCTGATCGGCATCATACTCCTAATGAGAACGGTCACTGTTGTGTAGAAGAGTGGTCAACTATGTTCAGGGTAATAATGTCACACGAAAAATGCTGATTTGCGTTCTGTTATGTTATGACGGACCGGTGTGGTTTCATGAGTGCGTCACGCTCGATACGTCGTCCAAAAAACGATCGTTGCTGCGGCTATTGGTTCTGGTGGCTGGCGTGACCTCGGCGCGAACGTCGCGTCTGATTGTAACATGAGAGTACGGTAAAGTATGATGTGCTGTGCCTCTTCAGTTGTGCGGTTCTGTTACGCTCACATATTTGACAGTATGTTGTGGCATGTTAGGATGCACTCTGCTCTGCGGCGCCAGTTTACGACAAATTATGTTATGTCCGGTTACGCTCGGCCGTTCTGTGTTCAGAGATGCTGTCCGCGGTCTTCGGAATTCCGTATCGTGAACTATGATATGATCTGTTATGCTATGGCACGTTCGGTCGTGATGCTCCTCATCCATAGTGTCGCTGCTGTACTGAACAGCGATGTAATCTTTTTTCTTATATTTTGCGCCATAATCTGCCATGATCTGTTCTCGACGGGCCGGCGTGGCGTCTTGACGCCTCTCACGTTCGATACGTCGTCCGATCGGTCTTTGCTGCGCCTGTTAATTATTGTGGCCAACTTGACCTGGGCGAGCACATTGCGCTTGCATATCGATCAGTACGTCCATTATGTAATGATGTTCCCCTTCACTGATGTCCTCTCTTCTGTCATAAGATGCCCTGGTATACCCACCTCCTTCACGGTATGCTTGGATATGGTATGGTATGCTCTGCTGTGGCACCACGCTATGCAAGGATATGGAACACCAGGTTATGTTATGGTATGCGAAGCTCTGTCTACTGATGCTGTTTACGGCATGGCCTCGTTCATTCTAGCAAATTGTGAATTCACATGCCATGCCATACCCCACAACAACAGTTATTATCTTGGATGGTTTAGCAAGCCCGCTGGCATAGATGAAGTAGTGTAATGATTATGTTATGGTATGCGGGAGACGCTGCGCTCTGTTGATGTTCCTCTGCAAGGGGGTGAACTGTGTGATGCTATAATACATTCAAGACCGTCGTGGTGGAAATCGTAAAAAATATTGTATGATTTGTTATGGTATGTCATGATGTACTCGTCTATGCTCCACTGTGCCATAATGTGCGATGTCACGCTAGGCTAAGCGCGATGGTGCGTCATGCCATGCTCTGTTCCAACATGGCATGTAAGTGTAGGTTCTGCTATGCTAGGTTGTGGTCTGCTATTTCAGAATATGCAATGCCGCGCTCAGACACGACGTACTTCGGCATGGGTTGGAATGCTGTGTGCTGTGATGCTGAGTTAGGTTATGATATGGTATGCCATGTTATGGCGATGGTATGGTACAGCTTGCCAGTGTGATCTGGTACGCTCTGTTATGTTATGCTACTGTTTGTAGTGGTATGCTCTGGTCTGTATGCTCCAGCCTGTCAATGCATGCGCTGTTATGCAACGCGATGGTATTGGCTGTCGTGAAAGCTGTGTTAGAGCATGACCTGCCCTATTTCGGTATCATGGTACGTTACATTCTGTTCTGTAGTACTATGGTATCACGCGCTATGCGATACTATGCTTTTTCCCTACCTAGGCTCTGCCTAGAAGGGTTCTTACTCTCTTAGCTTAAAGAGGCCGGGCAATGTAAATCGCCCCGGGCGGTTCCCCCAGTCCCCGCCCCGCGGTTCCCCCAGTTACGTCCCCGTAACTTAGCGTTGCTTATATCATCGTAGCTTAGCTTAGCTTAGCTTAGCTTAAGCTTAGCTCAGCTTAGCTTAGTTTAGCTTAACTTAGCTTAGCTTATCTCATCTTAGTTTAGCTTAGCATGTCTCATCTTAGCTTAGCTTAGCTAAGCTTAGTTTACCTTAGCTTAGCTTAAACTTAGCCTATCTCCTCTTAGCTTAGCTTAGCCTAGCTCGGCTTAGCCTGGCCTAGCTTAGCTTAGCTTAGCTTAGCCTAGCTTTGCCTAGCTTAGCTTAGCTGAACCTAGCTTTTCTCATCTTAGCTGAGCCCTTAGCTTAGCGTAGCTTCGCTTAGCTTAGCTTAGCCTATATCATCTTAGCTGAGCTTAATTTGGCCTAGCCTAGCCTAGCTTAGCTTAGCTTAGCTTATCTGATAACATCTTAGCTTTGCTTAGCTTAGCTTATCTTAGCTATCTCATCTTAGCTTAGCTTAGCTTAGCTTATGTTGCTTTCCTAAGGGCTCCAACTCCTAGGTAGGGTCGCACTGGGATAATATATGGCATGTACTGTGCGTCTTGTGTTTATTCCCTACCTAGGCTCTGCCTAGAAGGGTTCTTACTCTCTTAGCTTAAAGGGGCCGGGCAGTGCAAATCGCCCCGGGCGGTTCCCCCAGTCCCCGCCCCGCGGTTCCCCCAGTCGCGCCCCCTGGGTTCACCCAGCTTAGCTTAGCTTCAGCTTAGCTTTAGCTTAGCTTGACCTTAGCTTTAGCTTAGTTTTAGCTTAGCTTTAGCTTTAGCTTAGCTTTTAGCTTAGCTTCAGCTTAGCTTTAACTTAGCTTTAGCTTAGCTGCAGCTTAGCTTCAGTTTAGCTCTAGCTTAGCTTTGCTTAGCTCTAGCTTAGCTTCAGCTTAGCTTTAGCTTAGCTCTAGCTTAGCTTTAGCTTAGCTCTAGCTTAGCTTCAGCTTAGCTTTAGCTTAGCTTTAGCCCAGCACTAGCTTAGCTTCAGCTTAGCTTCAGCTTAGCTCTAGCTTAGCGTTAGCTTAGCTCTAGCTTAGCTTTAGCTTAGCTTTAGCTTAGCTTTAGCTTAGCTTTAGCTTAGCTTCAGCTTAGCTTCAGCTTAGCTTTAGCTTAGCTCTAGCTTAGCGTCAGCTTAGCTTCAGCTTAGCTTTAGCTTAGCTCTAGCTTAGCTTCAGCTTAGTTTTAGCTCGGTTTCAGCTTAGCTTCAGCTTATCTTTAGCTTAGCTTCAGCTTAGCTCTAGCTTAGCTGTAGCTTAGCTATAGCTTAGCGTTAGCTGAGTGTTAGCTTAGCTTTAGCTTAGCTTTAGCTTGGCCTTAGCTTAGCTTTAGCTTAACTTTAGCTTAGCTTTAGCTTAGCTTCAGCTTAGCTGCTTCTTAGCTTTAGCTTAGCTTTACTGTCACTACTAATGCTGCTTTCCTAGGGGCTCCAACTCCTAGGTAGGGTCGCACTTGGATAATTTGCTATGCTGCGCAAATTCATATGATGGTATGCTATACTGTGATATGTGATGTTGTGGTAGGATGTGTGATGCTATGGTATGATGTGCGTTGCTGTGCTATGATTGCTCTGCTCTGTCGTTGCATGCAAGGATCTGCTGCCTTATCTGATAATATTACATGTTAGTTAACATAAATGCCGTTACTTTATAATCGTATGCTAGGCAATTATCTGCAAACGTATGCTATGATAGGCCGCGCTGTGTCATGATGTGCTTTGTCTTGGTGTGGCATGATCTGGATTGTGATGCTGCGTTAAACAATGCTCTGTTATGGTGTCGACTGTAACGCGGTGTTCAGTTATGGTATGTCGTGTTATGTGGTGTTGTGCGGTGTTATGTTCTGTCATGTTAAAATGTGTTCTCCGGGGATTCCCCGTGGACCTGGGGATCTGGCGGCCGCGGCGGTATGCAGGATGGGCGGGTCGGCGCGAGGCCGGAGTCTCGGGATACTCTCGGTGGACCTGGGTATCTGGCGGCCGCGGTATGCAGGGTGGGCGGGCCAGGAGGCTTGTTCATGAAATCTACCGACCCCAACATCTCAGGTGGAGAATCATGCTCCATTCCCCCTCCTCCCTCCTCATCGTCCTCATCCTCCCTCCTGCATCCTCCTCCTGCCCCCCCCCCACCTCCCGCAGTCCGCGGGTCCTCGGCCTCCGCAAGGATCTGGTCGAAGGCCGCATCGGCGACCTATCGCGGAACACACTCTAACGCCTCCTCGCGGCCGTCACCAAGCCGTCGCCCTCTCCCCCGACCTCTTCTCCTCCCTCCTCACTGCTTCGGGGATGGACAGACCCCCTTTTAGCAAAACGTGGTTTAGTGAAAACGACCTGAGGCCCAAACCTGGCGGGCGCAGGCCTGGAAAATAGCGGCCACGGCGCCCTCTCGAGAACCGAAAACGGACAACTCACTAATCGACGTGTCACTGTTGGGGGTTCTGTCCACCCCCGACTCTAGGGGGCGGCAAAGAGGGGGGTGTCCAAGAGGGGGGGTGCAAATCATGACCGGCGGCATGTGCGCGGCCCCGGGGGGGGGCCAGGGACGTAATGAAATAAGAAAAGGTGCCATGACATCCTGGGAAATATCATGGCCCCCGCCATGATATCCACCCCCCCCTAGTCATCACCCCCCTCTTTGCCGCCCCCGAGACTCCTGCGTGCTCCCCGTGTGGCACGCCCTCCCCCCGGGGCGGGCCCGCTCGTCGTCCGGTATGCCGCCCCGGTGGCGGCCCCACGAGGCCCGCGGGGGGCGCTGGGCCGCCCGAGCACGGCGGGCACCCTCGGGAACCGCCTCCTCTCGAGCTTGACTGAGAACGAGAAGGCTGTCGTGATTCGAGTACTTGCCATCGCTCGGACGTCCATGTCCTCTGCATTTTCCGGTTTCGTGCGTGTGTTTTTTTGCTCGATGGTCCAGGATGGTCCTCGATGGTTCTCGCCGAGAGAAACATGCACACGTCCGAGCGATGCCTAGAGTAAGGGGTCGACTGCAGAATTGAGCGGCCACCAACTTGACTTCTCCGTCGGATCTACGAACGAATGCGTAGACTGCTTCGTTGATCCACGAGCACTCTGCGCATTTCTCGTCGACTCTACGAAACAGCAAGTTGAGGGCAAATCAATTCTGCCGTCGATCCCCTACTCGAATGATTGGATTGGCTAAGGGTCCGATCCAGGATTTCCACGAGTACCTAGCGGCCCTCGTGTCTGCAGCCCGTGTGGAGCATTGAGACAACTGGGGGGGAAAACTTGGAAACCTTGGAACACACCATTATCATAACCTCTTGCTCCCCTGATCATGGTCGGCGCGGATTTCTGGGATCGGCGCGCCCGCGGCGCCGATCCGAAGCATCCGCGCCCAGATCAGGGCACATGCCATGCTTGAATGCTCCCCCGATTCATGGCGGCAGGAATTCTGGCACGCCTGGAATGGGTACGGGAGCATGGGTACGATGTCATACAGCAGAGATGGTCCCCAGAACCGACAGCGGCCGCTGCTGTGCATGCACAAGCAGAAAGTCCTCGCAAGCACAAGCAACAGCCTGCAACACAGAGCTTAAGCAGAAGTTCTTCTCAACTGATGAAAACAGTCGAGTCGCTAGCGTATAATAGAAGCAAGGCACTGTGCAGCCCTTACTCGCCTGGGCAAGTGTCGAACGGTGCGCCGCAGACGCGACTGATGCCCACGCAACTAGTACTCTGGCTCGGCGCTGCCGTCGAAGAACCTATTTGCAGGTCGATGTAGTTCAGCGCGCTCCTCCCCATCATGTTCACGAACGTCTCGAATATCCAATGCCCTGCTCAACCACTGTTTTCGGAGTTCGCAAATTGATTCAACGCGTCAAACAAAGGCTCGACGTGCCCGATCGGGAGACCGTGAAAAACATCCGAAATCACATCTCTGCCTTCCCACTTTGATCGTACATACTTGTGGGCGACATTTGTGGCGTTCCACTTCAAACTGAAGGAAACTATTGGGAGGTCAAAGCGAGTCAGCACAATGGCATCGATGTTACTCTTATCGTGAAGAGCTAGCTCGAGAACTTTGACGAAGCTGTCTACTATGCGTGGCACGTGCTCGTTCGTAAACTAATGGTTGAGTAGGCTCAGCTCGCGAAGAAGACGCTGGTCACGCTGTGAGCAATTCGCGTCAACGTACAGAGCACTCATTTGTAATTCCGGTCATTTGTAATTCCCGTCATTTTCAATTCCGGCCACGGATTTGCAAATGAGAGGTGCCGACGGTAAGGCATGTGCTCAAGCGCTATGCCCAACGTGTCTCCAAGGAGTCAGGGCGCAGCTTCTGCTTACGCTCGTAAAAGATCACAAGAATAACGGCAACAGCAACGTCGTCGCCGTTCCGTGTGACACGCAGGATTTGCGTGTCACGTCTACGCGACACGCAAATTCTGCGTGTCGCGTCGCCCGGCCGCCCAGAGCGCGTTCCGGGTGACACGCAGGATTTGCGTGTCACGTTTAATTACTTACGCGACGCCGCCCCGAGCGCGTTCCGTGTGACGTGATACGCAGGATTGGCGTGTCGCGTAGACGTGACACGCAAATCCTGCGTGTCCGCCCCCCTGGCGTGGCCCGCGTGACACGCAGATTCTGCGTGTCCCCACCCCGGCCCCCCCGACCCCCGGCGTGCGACACGCACACTTTGGGCCCGCGTGACACGCAGATTCTGCGTGTCCCCACCTCGGCCCCCAGGACCCCCGGCGTGCGACGCGCAGATTTTGGGCCCGCGTGACACGCAGATTCTGCGTGTCCCACCCCGGCCCCCAGAACCCTTGGCGTGCGACAAGCGCGTTCATTTCTACTTCCGGTCATTTGCAATTCCGGCCACGAATTAGAAATGAAGCGCGCCGAAGGGGCGGCGGAGGCCACGTGCAGCGGACATGTTCGGCACGATTGAAAAAATGTCCTGGCGAAGGTCCCAATCATATGCACCCGTGCGTACCGCAAATGTGAGTATCTTCTTCGGTAGCGATCCCTAAGGGGCCACGAAACGCTTGGGTGCTGTGCCGGGGCCTTCGGTGGAGCTCCCTGTGGGGCCACGAAACGTGCAAGGGGTGTGCCGACATGGGTGCAGTGGGCGCATGCGAACGCAGCCACTGGGGCCTTCGGTTGGGGCTCCGTGTGGGGCCACGAAACGTGTGAGGGGTGTGCCGAACTGGGTGCGGTGGGCGCATGCGAACGCAGCTACTGGGGCCTTCGGTGGAACTCCCTGTGGGGCCACGAAGGGTGTGAGGGGTGTGCCGAACTGGGTGCGGTGGGTGCATGCGAACGCAGCCATTGGGGCCTTCGGTGGAACGCCCTGTGGGGCCACGGAACGTGCAAAGGGTGTGCCGAACTGGGTGCGGTGGGCGCATGCGAACGCAGCCAGGGCCTTCGGTGGAGCTCCCTGTGGGGCCACGACACGTGTGAGGAGTGTGCCGGAATGGGTGCAGTGGGCGCATGCGAACGCGGCCATTGTGGCCTTCGGTGGAGCTCCCTGTGGGGCCACGGAACGTGCAAGGGGTGTGCCGACATTGGCGCGGTGGGCGCATACGAACGCAGCCACTGGGGCCTTCGGTTGGGGCTCTCTGTGTGGCCACGAAGCGTGTGAGAGGTGTGCCGAACTGGGTGCGGTGGGCGCATGCGAACGCAGCCATTGGGGCCTTCGGTGGAGCTCCCTTTGAGGTCACGAAACGTGTGAGAGGTGTGCCGAAATGGGTGCGATGGGCGCATGCGAACGCAGCCACTGGGGCCTTCGGTGGAGCTCCCTGTGGATCACGAAACGTGTGAGGGGTGTGCTGAAATGGGCGCGGTGGGCGCATGTGAACGCAGCCACTGGCCCTTCGGTGGAGCTCCCTGTGGCGCCACGAAGTGTGTGAGAGGTGTGCCGAAATGGAGAGGAGAGGAGAGGAGAGGAGAGGAGAGGAGAGGAGAGGAGAGGAGAGAGGGCGGCGCTCCTGTTGGAGGCGGCGCGCGGAAGGGGGTAGGGGAAGGGGAGGGGGGAAAGCTTCTTAGAAGCAGGCTGCTTCTTAGAAGGGCCCGGCCCTACATCGAGAGACGAGGCCCGCGCCTTCTAAGAAGCAGGGGCGCCTCTAAGAAGCCTTCCCCCCTCCTCCTGCCCCCCCTCTGCGCGTGGCCGAGCTCTCCTGGGCCCTGCAGACCAATCTTCATCAACAACAAGATCAGCGTCCACGCGAACGTCGGCCAACTTCCGGTCCAGGGAGAGCTGCTGTTCTGATCCACGCGCCTGGGAGTTCAGGGCCAGGCCAGGCAATCGAGAGACAGCGTGCTAGCCACGACCCCCCACCATGGACACCGAGCGCCGCGCCACGCTGTAGAACGAAAGAGGCGGATGGCCACGTGCGGCTACTGAACATGCAGGGTAAGCAGTGACTGTCCTGAGCCACTATAGCCTGAGCCGCCATGGCTGGAGCCAACGTGGCTGCGGAGGGCCGCTGCTGTGCATGCGGCCTTCGGTCGCACGTGGGCGACGCCCGCGGCGGCGCCGACGGCCAGCCCCGCCCAGCATGGACAGCAGCTGCTGTCGGCCTCCGCCCCCGCTCTTGCCGTACGGCCAGCGTGCCGACACACAAGGACCGCACGATGTATTGAGCAGGGACCGGCCGTCCCGGCATTCCTGCTGCCTGCCACGACATGTTTTCTTAGAGCCCAGACACGTGCTTGTAACGCAGTGGCCTTAGAACCTGACTGCGGTGCGCGAAAGCAAGACAGTCTCAGCCAGACGCATGTCGAGAACACTCCGCGAGGACCACAGAAAGGTTGCTATGGCATTCTTTGGTGGGCCTATAGTTGTGGACGCCGCGACACTGGACACTCTAACAGTCCTATCATCGAATTAAACATGTGTTTGAAATGTGTAAAACATGCTCTAAAAACGTGACAAGCATGCTTTTTCAACAGATTCAGAACACATGTTTGAAACATCTTGTTCTTCGGCACCGCCTGTACTCTGAGCCCTCCGGCCGCCTGAGGCCCTGCCCGCCCGCACCCTGTCTCCCCAATTAGGGCTACTCGTGTCCCGTTTAGCTCTTGACCGGAAGGGACCCGCTCCCGGCCCCCCGGCCCAAAAAATGTTTGAAACATCTTGTAGACCTCTGGCAATTGTTTGGCAGCATGCATCCTCTCCATTATAATCGACCTCCGCAAGCCCACGTTTCAAAGATGCTTTTCAACATATTTGTAACACATGTTTGAAGCATTGAAATTAAAATGTTTTTGAAATGTGTAAACATGTTCTAAAAACGTTTCAAACATGCTTTTCAACAGATCTAAACCACATGTTGAAAACATCTTGCAGACCTCTGGCAACTGTTTGGCGGCACGCTTCCTCTCCATTCTAATCGACTTCCACAAGCCCACAGGCGGGCCAGGACGCTTCGCCACTGCTGGAGGCTGCGGGGCGGAAGGGCTCCCCTGGCCGCGGCGGGCTCCGGCCACGAGTGGGCTCCTCGACCCAGGTTGAAGTCGGGCGTGTCCCCCGACAGGGGGATTTTCAACGAAAAATACATAAAAAACGCACCAAAATGGCCAACAAATATTCCGAAAATAGTCCCCAGACTACTTCTCGACTGTTTTCGAAGGTTCCCCCCTGTAGGAAGGACACGCCCGACTTGAACCCAGGTCCCAGGAGCGGCCCGCCAAGCGGAGCCCCTCACGAGCCCAGTGGCCCTCCCTGCAACGCCTTGGCTGTGCCCACGGAAGGGGCCCTGGGCCACACAAATAAATACCCACAAATAATAGGATCCCCCATCTCTTCACGCATTTTCTGGGTTTGCGTCTCCCCCCCCACTTCCCATATTGTCCCCTATTTTCGGAAAATTCGACGATGACTTGGGGTCTATGTGTTTTTTGTTCCCTCCTGACCCGTGTCGACGCTGCTGGGCGTCGCCCGGCACGGGGGAAGCGGGTCCCGAGGGAAGCGGGTCCTCCTCCTCCTCCCCAGATGCTCGGAGCTCCAAAAAGATGGGGCGCAGATCGCAAAGATGGGGCGCGACCCATCTCCCGGCACCGGACGCAGAGATGGGGCCTCGCAGTGCGCGGTTGCCCGTGACACGGTACCCATCTATGAGGTCACCGCTACCCATTTCCGCATGGCGTTCGCTACCCATCTTGAAATCTACACTTGCCGATCTGCGCCCCATCTTTGCCTGAAGTTTGCCTGACGTGTACCTGAAGTTTACCTGAAGTTTGCCTGACGTTTACCTGAAGTTTGCCTGAAGTTTGCCTGAAGTTTGTCTGAAGTTTTTCTGATACTAGTAGTAGTAGTAGTTGAAGTAGTAGTAGTAGTAGTAGTAGTAGTAGTAGTAGTAGTAGTAGCACCAATCATAAACATGGTGGTCGCAAAAGTACTACTAGTAGTAGTAGTAGTAGTAGTAGTAGTAGTTGTAGTAGTTGTTGTTGTTGTTGTTGTAGTAGTAGTCGTAGTCGTAGTAATAGTAGTAGTAGTAGTAGTAGTAGTAGTAGTAGTAGTAGTAGTAGTAGTAGTAGTAGTAGTAGTAGTAGTAGTAGTAGTGGTTGTTGTTGTTGTTGGTGGTGGTGGTGTTGTTGTTGTCTTCCCGACCTGCCCCCCCTCCCCTCCTGCCGCCCGCCCCCTGCCTCCCCTCCTGCCGTCCTCCCGACCTTTTCTCGCCATTCCCCTTCCTTGCCATGTCTTGCTCCAGCTCTTTCGCATGGCCCTCGTGTTCGCGGTGGAGATCGCCCCTCCGCCGCCCCCAGGGCTCGGCGCCCCGTGGCGCCTGCAGGAGATCGGCACCATAGGCCACGGGCTCCCGCTGAGGGGGCCAACAGGCAGGCGGGTGGAGAACCGCGGATGGTTGGACGCGGCCATGGCGCAGGCGTCGCCTGCGCCGTGGCCCGGCTGCCCCGACGCCATCGTGGTTGTCGGCGGCAGCGTGCGCATGGTGGACAGCTGGCACGTGGACGCGGGCTGGGCAGAACACCAGCCCGCCCTGACCATCGTGCCAGTTCGATCCCCCACTGCGCACGGTCTCCCTCGCCTCATTATGATGATGTGGGAGGACGATTCGGGCCTCCAGGTTGCGAGCTACAGGTGGGCCGAGCAGCTGCCCAGGCGCCAGTACTACATTCGGGCGTGAAGGTCAGCGTGGGAACACAAAATCCTTATCCCCCTCCCGTTCCTTCGGCCCTTCCCTCCTCCTTCTCCCTTCTCCTTCTCCCCCTCCCCATCCCCTCCTCCTCCTCCCTCCTTCTCCCCCTCCCCCTAATCAAATGTGTCCCTGCTTTCTTATTTCTCCTCCCCGCCGCCACTGTTCTGCGGCGGCCCCTGTCGGCTCTGTCCCGCCTGCTGCGCGCGGCCGTGCCCCTTGGCCCCCCCGACCGCCAGAATGGCGGCAGCTCCAGTCAGGGTGCCCCTCCCAGACCTGGACCCCGTGGAGCTCGGGAAGGAATTCCGCAAGCTCATCGTGCGCCAAGGGTGCAAGAGGGCCTTCAGTTTATACAGCTATAACTTTCTTACCAAGCCGCGCGCGGTGTGCGCGCGGCCCCTGCACAATATGTTTCCGTTGGTGCGCTCGGGCGAAATTCACCACCATTTCCACCCTTAAGCGATTGCCACCTGCTCCTAGATCCAACCGCCCCTCCCGTTCTACTCCACCCTTAAGCGATTGCCACCCTCTCCCGTTCTACCCCCCCTCTGCCACGCGCGATTAGGGGGGAATGGGACGATGCGATCAAACAAAACAGTCAGGATGATCAGGGCGATGATTATCAGGAGGACGGGGGTCGGGCTAGGGAAGGGGGGGAGGGTGAGAAGGTGGAGGAGGAGGGGGGGGGGGCGGAGGAGGAGCCACAGAAACAATGCCCCGCTGCCACCGTCCCAGGTTGACGTGCTGCTTCGCAACATTCCAGGGGCCGAGGTGAAGTGGAGCTGCCTCAGGGGCGCGTGCTTGTTCGCGATCGACAAGTGCCGCCGCGAAACGGCGGTGTGGGAGGGTGGCGAATGGGTAGGAGGAGACTCAGAGGATCAGGAGGGCGACGCGGAAGCCAAGGTGGAGTTGGAGAGGGAGGAGGAGGAGGAGGAGGAGGAGGAGGATCCTCGGCAAGACAAATGTTAGAGGATACGGATGAGACGGAGGACACTAAGGAGGAGAAGGAGGAGGGCACGGAGAGGCGTTTGAAGTGGTTCGCCATACGTCTGCCAGACGTTGGCCAGACTTTTGGCAAACGTCGGCCAGACGTTTGCCAGAAGTTTGCCAGAAGTTTGCCAGACGTCTCCAGAAGTTTGCCAGAAGTTTGCCAGAAGTTTGCCAGACGTTTGCCAGAAGTTTGCCAGACGTTTGCCAGAAGTTTGCCAGACGTTTCCTGAACCACGTCAGACGTGTGTCCGAAGTTTGCCAGAAGTTTGCCAGACGTTTTCCAATAGTTTTTCCGATGTTTGCCCTATATTTCCTGAAACATACCATCGGCGCGTCAGAAGTTTACCAGACGTTTGTCAGACGTATTCCAGAAATGTGCCAGAAGTTTGCCAGGCGTTTACAGAACCATACCAGACACGTGTCAGACGTTTACCATCAGTTGACCATACGGTTTCCAGACGTTTGCCAGACATTCCCCAGACGTTTACTTACGGCTGTCAGAAGTTTGTCAGATTTGTACCAGAAGTTTGCCAGACGTTTTCCAGACGTTTGTCAGAAGTTTCCCAAACGTTTACCGACGGTTGTCAGAACTTTGTCAGATTGTAACCAGAAGTTTGCCAGGCGTTTACCAGAAGTTTGCCAGACGTTTTTCAAAAGTTCGCCAGGTTGTTTCGTCATCCCGTTCCCAGGTACCCTCGGTGCACCAGAGAGGATCCCACGCAGCCCTCGCTCACGAGGGCTGGCTCTTTGGCGGAGAAGCTGATGGCGATCAGGGGGGTGTATGATTTTGTAAATAATATGGTTGGCTTGGTCCAGCTGTGTGGAATGTGGCAATGAGTGCGAGCATGCCAGACCATGCAGTCATGGTTGCCTGCATTGCTCAGTCCACTGTGCCAGACCAAGCCATATCGATGTTGGAAAATTATGTGTTTGTATCCCAGGTGATCCTCAAACACTTGCGCAGGGTCAGAGACAGCAGCATCCGCCTGCGCCAGGCCCGACGTCCTCTGTGGAGGGGTGTAGCTGTTGGATGCGGTAGGAGGATTAAGGGCACAGGGGTAGGAGGGGGGAGGTGGCAGGACGGTGGCAGGGAGAGATCACGCGATGCATTCGGAGGGGGCGATGGCTCCCCTTCCTATTCATCCTTCTGTCCTATTCCTCTTCTTCCCCTTCCCTCCCTTCCTATTCCACCTTCTTCTTTATTCCCCCTAGTCCTCCTGTCTCCTGTTCCTCCCCCCCCCCGCCCCTTCCCCCCCCCCCCCCCGCCGCGTCTCGCAGGCGGTCAAGGACGCCAGCCCTGCCGAGAAGGATCGCATGAACCACTACTTG